AGGACCAATTAGACATGTTCAAATCCGGGTCTGTCTTTACCTGGACATTACCATTGCCTGTTGTCACCTCCGACCTTGCTGTTCTGGTAGACTCGTCCGCAACCTTGGGACGATTGGTGCTCCAATCGGTCACCAAGTCGTTGGCTAGTACCACGTCAATCCCAGCCACAGGGAGGGTATCGACTACTGCCAACTCACATGTGCCGCTGAAATAAGGCGAATCAAGATGTACTGGCACTAAGGGGGCGATGTACTGCGTCCTAGGAAACCCAACCAGGATCACCTCTGGTCTCCCATCCACACTTACTCCCTCGGGTAACGAGCTCTTCACGATCAGGGACTGGGCTGCTCCACTATCTCTGAGCACTACAATTGATCTACCAGTATGATCACTCGTTACATACCCGGTTGAAGTGTGAGGGGCCAACAAACTTGGTCCTTCCTGCGTCGTCGTAGACTGGTTTCCTACTGGTGATGTAACACAGCTCACCAACATCACCTCCCTTCGTGCGCTGCCACCTCTTCTACCTCGGCACCTAGCAGCTATGTGCCCTTTCTGCCCACAAGTCCAGCACACCATATTCCTCCTTGGACTACGGTGTTTCGGACTACTGGGACTTGTTCTTCGGGGGCTACTTGGGGGCGTCTTCTTAGCGCTTCGTGGGACGGGAGTCTCTTCATCGTCCTGAGGTCTGTCAAACCGGCGCTGGTAATTCCTCGGGACGTACTTAGCAGACGGCCTATGAGTCAGGATATACTCTTCAGCCATGGTGGCTGCTGCACTCAAGGTCTCCACCTGCTGCTCTTCTAAGTATGTCTTGAGGTCTCCAGACAAACAATCCTTGAAGTCTTCGAGCAGAATCAGCTGTTCGAGGTCTTCCCTGGTCTCCACCTTCCGAGAGGCACACCATTCCTGGAAAAGTCGCTCCTTGATGGTGGCGAATTCGGTGAAAGTGTGCTCTGAGGTCTTCTTCAGGTTTCTGAACTTTTGCCTATAAGCCTCAGGTACCAATTGGTACGCCATGAGCACCACTTTCTTCACCTTGTCGTAATCGCTGGAATCGTCAAGGGATAACGTGGAGTAGGCGATTTGGGCCTTCCCAGTCAAGACTGACTGTATCATGATGGCCCAATTCTCCCTTGGCCACTCCAAAGAGGCAGCGACTTTCTCGAAGGCTGCAAAGAATTTTGACACTTCCTTCTCATGGAATTTGGGGACCATTTTGATGTTGCGTACCGGATCGAAGCTACTGGTGTCCGTTGTTTGCCTCCGACCACCGCCTAATCGCAACACTTCTAGTTCATGTTGTCTCTCTCTTTCCTCCCTTTCTCGCTCTCGTTCTTCTCTCTCTCGTTTCTCTTCTCTTTCTCGTTCTTCTCTCTCTCGTTTCTCTTCTCTTTCTCGTTCTTCTCTCTCTCGTTCTCGTTCTTCTCTCTCTCTTCTCTTTCTCGTTCTTCTCTCTCTCGTTCTCGTTCTTCTCTCTCTCGTCTCTCTTCTCTTTCTCGTTCTTCTCTTTCTCTTTCTCGTTTCTCTTCTCTCTCTCTCTCTGCTTTCCTTTCTTCTAATTCTAAACGTCTCATCTCTAATTCTTTATCTTGTCTCTCTCGTTCCATTTCTAATTTCTTCCATTCTATTTCACGATTGATCTCTAGGGCACGCATTTTGACTGTTAGGAAGCTGATATTAAGCTCGCCTGCATCACTGTCAACGTCGCTGCCCTTATCTTCCTTTTCCGTGGAAGCTATGTCTGCACTTTCCTTTGTACTAGGAGTCTCGCCTTCCTGTTTCTCTTCTGCCTTCAGGTGCCGGTGCACCTTGGACAAGATCTCCACACGGGAGTCACTGGCACGGATCTTGATCTCCAGGTAGGCGCTCACTAGTACAAGCTCTGGTTTACTCAGATATTTTAATCTGGCAAGACAATCTTCTCTGTTCAGAAAAGCCTGAACCTCGTCCAGATCATCGATGGTAGCTTTGTCTGCCATTGTCACAGATGGAACACTTAGCACTTAACACTGCTTACATGTTAGCACTTAACGCACCGAGCACTGTTCTACGCCAATATTGCACTTTATCGCACCAAACACTGCACTTGCCAATATTGCACGTAATCACTTCGGGCACCACACTACCCAATATTGCACTGAGTCCAAGCGAACACTTCGCTCTACAATAGTGCACTAAATCACTGAGCACCGCACTAGTCAATATTGCACTTAATCGCTTAATCACAGCGAGCACCGCACTGCACAATATCGCACTTAGTCACTCTGAGCACCGCACAGGACGTATAACGTCACAATCGTCACACAGGGGGAATTATATACAGGGATTACGCCACTTCACCACCCCTGTCAAACATACTTAACAAGGGGACGGATCCCGCTGGGGATGCCAATTATGTTACGGCCCTCTCGGGACGCAACGGGGTTCTTGCTCTGATGTTGTTAGAGGAAGATATATGTATCCGTTCCCAAGCCAGTAGTGGCTATCAAGGGATGAGATCCGTGACGCAAGTAACATAAAAGGGAGTAGGGAAAGAAAGGTAAGAACTTAATATAATATAATGTTTACCATCACCATTTAAATATATAGAATTAAAACGTACACAAGGGGGAGGGGTATTAACACTTTACAAGGGGATCATGTACAATCTAGTCTTCTGCTGAAGACTCTTGATTAAGAAGCTAGGTGCTGAGTCCGCGGTGCTTTCTTCGTGGCCTCAAGACGTGTCCTCTGAGAACGCCGAGCCTACCCTGGCCACAGGTCAGCCACAACACAGGTCCACTGGGGGGCACCGTCGTGGAGGCCGTCAACCACACGTCCAGCAGGTCTGCTGGCAGGTACTGAGCCACCAAGGCTGGTACGGCCACTCCACGAACGATAAAAAGGGTACGCCCTAGACAGGAGTCTCGTGTGATATCACCAATCACCCTCCTGTCCTCAATACCCCAGTGGATTATCGTCTCCAACCGTCGGTCCCGGGTAAATCCTTTCACTGCCACTCCATTGGCAGGCTTAACACACCACAGTGTTCTTCCGGGGGGACGACGTCACAACAGCTGCAGCAAACTTCACAGTATGGAGACTGGCTGCCTCGGGTAGACTGACTCCACCTTCAACACAGTGGTCCCAGGTCGGCTCTGTAAGCAGACACGTCATTAATAACCGGGACATTAATACTCCTCACTTACGGTGGCGGGCGCAAACACCTGACGTATCCAGTCCATAGATGGCGCTGTCGTCGGAGCACCACCTCACCAGAGGTCAGGAGCGGCGGTGTTGAGCGCTGAACCAGACTGGAAACTGGTCCTCGAGGCCAGTACACGCTGTCCTCACCAGGTGTCGTCGTCCGTTTGGCGGGGGTTTCGGGAGCTGACCCACAGATGGCGTGGTGGTCACTGCTCCAGGCTCGGACGCTGGATCCGGGTTCGTAACAGTTAGATTAACATTTTAAAAGCACTACAATCACCTTCTGTGGTTGATTGTTCAATAAACCCTTAAACTATATGTTTAACACATCTCTCACCCTGTCCATAGAGGACAGAAAAAAAAATGTATATGTGCTGGTTAGCATTATAAATGTGTGGCCAGGTCTGTGGAAGAAAATAATACACAAAAATTACTTACGCTTTGTATTATTTACACTATTTTAAGACTTGCTGTGTTAAGAAGGGTCGTTATTTGGCATACACTGCATCATACCTGTATTGGCTGCATCATACTTGTATATGCTGCATCATACTTGTATTGGCTGCATCATACTTGTATATCCTGCATCATATCTTGAGATCTTGAGATGAATTCGTGGCTTAGCGTCCCGGCGGCCCGGTCCTCGACCCAAGGCCTCCTTTTTGTTACACCCCCCCCCTCCTCCAGGAAGCAGCCCGTAGCAGCTGTCTAACTCCCAGGTACCTATTAACTACTAGGTAACAGGGGCATCAGGGTGAAAAGAAACTTTTTGCCCGTTTATCTCCGTCTCCACCGGGGATGGAACCCGGAACCTCAGGACTATGAATTCGAAGCGCTGTCCACTCAGCTGTCAGGCGCCCAGGCACATATATTTGTATTTGTTGCATTATACTTCTATACACTGCATCATACTTGTATATGCTGTATCATACCTCTATATGCTGCATGATACTTGTATATGTTACATCATACTTGTATACGCTGCATCATACTTGTGTATGTTACATCATATTTGTATACGCTGCATCATACTTCTATACGCTGCATCATACTTGTATACATTGTTATGTATGAACATGACATTACTAAGTAAACATGCATAACTTCTTTATGTTCTTGTGAATTGGCATGACCTTAATAGAATATACTTAGTCTTGCTTTGAAGACACATAAGCGTACTTTGACTGGAGGCTTCAGGCAGGGCAGTACCACTCTAGACTGTGTTGACACGCCAGCCACTTCACTGCGATATGTGAGCTATTTGTAACAAAAGATTCATGTATATATATAACTCAGAAATCACAATAGAGTGATGCATCAAATGAACAAATCCACAAGGGCCGTGACGAGGATTCGAACCTACGTCCGAGAGCATCCTAGACCTTGCCTGAATCGATTGAGCTACGACATGGTATAAGAATTGCAACCAGAAATTCTACTCAAGTAGAATTTCTGGTTGGAATTCTTATACCATGTCGTAACTCAGTCGATCAAGGCAGCGTCTGGGATGCTCGGATGCTCTCGGACGTAGGTTTGAATCCTCGTCACGGCCCTTGTGGATTTATACATATATATATATGTGTATATGCAGCCAACCTCACGAACCGCAGTGCATTAACTTCGTGAATGTGTCTCAGTATTATGTTAGTTTTCATGTTTCAAGAGTTATGTGTGTTAATAATATATAAATTCATTCATAAAATGTTTATTGTTTACTATATAGACAATAGTTGTGACTATTTAGTAACTAAAATAGTCATTCGAATAAATATTTATAATACAGTAGAGGCGTCGTTTGGTTTGGTGTTGGGCTTTACGCCTATTTTAAAATGGAGTTCCATAGGCAGCGGAGGGAGCAGATGGAGCAACATATCCGTTGCTGGCACCATTCCCATTCACACCGTTGCCATTGACACCATTGCCGTTACCGGCACCATTTCCATTTCTTCCATTGCCGTTGGATCTGTAACCATTGCTACCATTACTTCCATTTGCGCCATTTCCGTTCCTTCCGTTTCCGTTGGCTCCGTTGCCATTTCCATAACTGCCACCGTTGCCATTACCGTTGCCAATGCCGTTGGTGGCGGGACCATAACCATAGCCAACGTCTGGGACGACGCCGATGAGTTCGTTGACGGAGTAGAAGTTCTCAGCCTGGGAACAGTCAACGTTGAACCACCAGTCGCACACCAGGTACTGCTGGTTGAAGATGGTACCGTTGGGGCACAGGAAGGAGTCCTTCTGGCGTCTGACGGCGCGGTCCTGGCAAATGTGGAACACCTGGCAACGGGCCTCAGGGTCGGTATCGGCGTAATAGCCAGCCACTGCCTGGGCGTCACAGGAGAAGTCATTGTCTGGTGGAGAAGCCAAGACAGGGTAGTCTTCCCCGGGGACGCCACCACCGGGGATGTTCTCCTGCAGAGCAACCAGCTCGGCATCTAGTCCATAGGAACCTGTCGGGGGACCGTACCTGTTACTTGGGGGAGCTGAGTATCCATTGCTTGGTGCAGCTCCGAACCCGTTGCTTGAAGTTTGTCCAAACCCATTGCCTGAGGCTGCACCGTTTCCATTCCTTGCATGAGTTCCGAAACCATTGCTTCCGGGGGCTGTGTAACCATTGCTTGGGGCTCCATTAGAGGCGCCAAACCCGTTACCAAAACCTCCATTTGGGGCTCCGTAACTATTTGAAGGTCGCTTGTCAGCGATGGACAATCCCAGCAGGGCTGTAAGAAACATAATATTGTTAATAACAATTTTGATGTGAAACATTCTTACGAAATTCTCTTTACATTCCAAAAATCATTATAGCAAGAATGATCACTGCAATGAAGTTATTCTATATTTACCAACGAACAGAAGAACCTTCATTGTTGTCGGTCAGCAGATGAACTAGAGAGAGTGAGAGTAGTACAGAAGAGTCAGCCACAGGAGGAGCTGCTGGAGTATGATGCTAGATGATGCTAGTCCGACCTTTATACCCGAGCGCTCACCAAGCTCCGCCAACAAAAAAAGTTATCTCCGCCCTTCCCTCGACCCCACATATCGCCCTCTCACTCTTCCTCACGCTCTGAAATTTAGAAGGTCACTCAAAGAGGGAGTGTGGATTACTTCGCTGCCTTCCATGTTAATATTAGTTGTATCTCCTGAAGGTAATTCGTAAACTTTATCACTTTTATAATCAGATTGGATTGAAAGGGGAAGAAAATAGTAAAAAGATTTTGAATATTACATTGAAAATATTGATATGAAATATTATGAAGGAAAAATCACCCAAGCATTCCAGCAATAATTCTCAACAGCACCACATTCGCTTCTTATAAGAGACGGTGTCCACTGCTCCTTGTGAATGGTCATATACAATATGAACAAACATTCACATTTTTCAAACTGCTTCCAGCGATCACTGTCCCCTTACAATATACCGTGTTTTGTCCGCACTCACTTCCTGCTGCCTAGTGAGGTGTTCACTCATAATTGATAAAAGACAGAAAAGCTTCAACTGTATGAAAAGCGTCAACTTCTTCAACCTACAGAACAGTTACAGTCCGCTCCTGTGCCCGGTAAGTCCACTACGGGCTCACCATAGCCCGTGCTACTTGCAACTTAGTTCCCAGTAGCTAAATCTTAAACAACAACATCAACTGTATGTAATCAAAACACGTGAGCGTACTTTACAGTTCTTTGACTGGAGGTTCGAGGCAGGGCAGTACCACTTTGTACTTTGTTGACACTCCAGCCAACAGCCGTGTTTCCCAGTGAGGACATTGGGAAACATGACATGAAGGAAAACCACGTAATCAGACTTCCTTCGTCAATCTGGCATTCTCGTGCCCTCACAGTCAGCTCATCCACTAACTCAGATAGTCATATTTTTTAATTAGCTTTATGGAGTGAAAATAAGAGTTCTGTAGCATATTTAGTTTTTATTTCCTCATAGTTTCTGTCCATAACTTACAGAAACATGAATTTTGCATGAATTTTCTTATAAATTGGCATTACTTCCAAAATCCTGAAATATTAATTGTTATGCTCGTTAATGTTCTATGATGAAAAATATAGTTTTCAGATAATTTGATTATATATCAATGATAATTAATATTTACAGTAAAATGCCATTTGTTATTATTACCGTTCTGTTGTTTTTGTTTAGTTCTTATTTTATCTGTTAACTGTTTCGTGAAACAAGGATCTTCACTGTATCATTAAACACACACACGAAGTAGTGTGTGTTTAATGTATAAGTATATGAAGTAGATATAATATAGGAAAATAGATTGGTTAGAAAGGCGGAGTCCAAGAGCTAATAGCTCGATTCTGCAGAAATAAATAGTAAATACACACACATCCACCCGTTCACTCAACAACTTGAACACTACTTATACTATACAACGCTTATACTATACAACACTTATACTATACAACACTTATACAATACAACACTTATACTATACAACACTTATACAATACAACACTTATACTATATTAATTAAAGGTATTCCTGTATAATACCCTGTTGTCATGCCTGGAAACGTAATCTTCTTTTCCCATATGTCATTCGGTTTATATAACGCCGCTATCCAGGAACGTAACTACAGTGTAATATTAGGATAGTCGGTTTAGGATTTTCAACATTTATGGTTATCGGGGATTGAACTTGGACCTGTAAAATACGAGGCTGACATTACTCCAATCATTCCAGGATGCTCACAGAAAGGAAGTACACACAAAGTCGCTCTTCGTCATAATATAGCCCTAGTACTATGCTGAATAAAGAAGACCTTGTGTCATACTCTGGGTCTTCTTTATATATATACCGAGCCATAACGTGTACAGTTGGGTCTTGATTGTGTATACTCTACAGCATAGTTGATTTACAATGGATCTTGTTTTGATTAGAGTATTGTCAGTGCACTTGATTATGTTTTAAATATCCAGGATCAGTATTTATGTGTTATGTATTCTGTTGACATTGTGTATGATACACTTGTCCACGTCTTGGTTACACTTGACTTTATATTGGATACAAGTAACATAAAGATTCTTTTAAATGCACTTCAAATTATTTTGTATAAAAACAATTTTATATATTACATATATGCGAACAAGCCTGAATGGTCCCCAGGATTATATGCGACTGAAAACTCACACCCCAGAAGTGAATCGAACCCATACTGCCAGGAGCTACGCAAATGGTATCTACAGGACGCCTTAATCCGCTTGACCATCACGACCGGACATAAGGAAGTGATAGACGAAGCTATTTGAACCACTTCCCCGCCGGCACTCGGATGGTAATCTTGGGCATAGCATTTTATCAAATCACCTCATTCTTTGGGGCACACGTGAGGAACACAAATGCGAACAAGCCTGAATGGTCCCCAGGACTATATGCGACTGAAAATATCTAGAGAATATTACATATACTCTGGATACACTTCAAAATAGTTTAAATACAATTAAACTTGTTTGGCAAGGCAGACAAACAAGGATAACCAGCTACTACTGTTATGGCAGCCGAGCTGAAAGGCTGGACAGTAACGCCCTTCAGTATGTGACAAGTATTCAGTATACTGACCGCTTCTCGACTTTACGTAGTTTTGTTCAACAGGCTTTATAATACAGATGTGTTTTATTAAACAAATAAATTTAAGGTTCAGAACTTTTATTATATAATGACCATCTTTGACTAAACATAAAAATATAATTCTTATAAATATTTATACAAAAGTTAACTTAAGTCGAAGTTCGTTTCTGAGTCGAATCGTTGTAGCAGAGAGACAGTCAAGTGACAGAAGACATGAGACAAAGAAGGACATTTTAAAATGGAGTTCCATAGGCAGCGGAGGGAGCAGATGGAGCAACATATCCGTTGCTGGCACCATTCCCATTCACACCGTTGCCATTGGCACCATTACCGTTACCGACACCATTTCCATTACCGTTAGATCCGTAACCATTGTTACCGTTGCTTCCATTGGCGCCATTTCCGTTTCTTCCGTTACCGTTGGCTCCATTAGCATATCCGTTGTTGGCACCATTCCCATTCACACCGTTGCCATTGGCACCATTACCGTTTCCGGCTCCATTTCCATTGCCGTTAGATCCGTAACCATTGTTACCGTTGCTTCCATTGGCGCCATTTCCGTTTCTTCCGTTACCGTTGGCTCCATTAGCATATCCGTTGTTAGCACCATTCCCATTCACACCGTTGCCATTGACACCATTGCCGTTTACGGCACCATTTCCATTCCTTCCATTGCCGTTGGATCCGTAGCCATTATTACCGTTCCTTCCATTTCCATTTACGCCATTTCCGTTCCTTCCGTTACCGTTAGCTCCGTTGCCATTTCCATAACTGCCACCGTTACCATTACCGTTGCCAATGCCGTTGGTGGCGGGACCATAACCATAGCCAACGTCGGGGACGACGCCGATGAGTTCGTTGACGGAGTAGAAATTCTCAGCCTGGGAACAGTCAACGTTGAACCACCAGTCGCACACCAGGTACTGCTGGTTGAAGATGGTACCGTTGGGGCACAGGAAGGAGTCCTTCTGGCGTCTGACGGCGCGGTCCTGGCAAATGTGGAACACCTGGCAACGGGCCTCAGGGTCGGTATCGGCGTAATAGCCAGCCACTGTCTGGGCGTCACAGGAGAAGCCAGTGTCTGGTGGAGAAGCCAAGACAGGGTAGTCTTCCCCGGGGACGCCACCACCGGGGATGTTCTCCTGCAGAGCAACCAACTCGGCATCTAGTCCATAGGAACCTGTCGGGGGACCGTACCTGTTACTTGGGGGAGCTGAGTATCCATTGCTTGGGGCAGCTCCGAACCCGTTGCTTGAGGTTTGTCCAAACCCATTGCCTGAGGCTGCACCGTTTCCATTACTTACAGGTGTTCCGAAGCCATTGGTTCCGGGGGCTGTGTAACCATTGCTTGGGGCTCCATTAGAGGCTCCAAACCCATTACCAAAACCTCCATTTGGGGCTCCGTAACTATTTGAAGGTCGCTTGTCAGCGATGGACAATCCCAGCAGGGCTGTAAAAGACATACAAATTACTTAAATAGTTTTAAATGGCAAATAGTCTTACGAAATTAACTCACCAACCCAAAAATTAATCTCTCTCTCTACATGAGAGAGTTATGCAAGAATTAATTATCAGTGCAAAGAAGTTATACTTTACTTACCAACAAATAGTAAAAACTTCATAGTTGTCGGTCAGCAGACAAAGGATCTAGACAGATCAGTATAGAAGAGAGTCTGGTGGAATATGATGGTGGAACACGGTAGTCGAGCCTTTATACCCAAATGCTCACCAAGCTCCGCCCACCCAAAGTTATCTCCGCCCTTCCCTCGACCCGCTATAACCCTCCCCCTTCCCTCCCTCCCTTCCTCTCACTATTACTCCCGATCTGAGCTTTGGAAGGTCACTCAACGAATGTGTGTGGATTACCTTGTTGGCTGGCTTCACAGATTAATATTTGTTGTATCCACTGAAGGTAACTAGTAAACCTTGTTACTCATTACCCTGTTATTACTAGCCTCGTTTCCAATTCCATGGGATGGGAAGAAGCAGCTAAACTAGAAGCTTGAAACTAAAACAGTTGGATCAAACAATGTAACACCGAGGATACTGAAAGAGGCAGCGCAGGCCATTAGCGTGCCTATAGCAAAGATCGTTAATGAATCACTTATGAAGGGAGAGTTGCCCAGTTGCTGGAAGAAGGCAAATGTGGTACCAATTATCAAGAAAGGAGATAGGGAAGAGGCACTTAAATACAGACCAGTATCACTGACAAGCATCCCCTGCAAAATACATGAAGGAATAATCAGGATAAGACTGGTTAAATACAGAGAAAGTTAAGTATGTAAATAAACATCAACATGGGTTCAGGGAAGGGAAATTATGTCTAACAAACGTTCTGGAATTCTATGATAGAGTAACAAGAATGAGGCAGGACAGAGAAGGATATGCAGCCTGCAT